TCCGGTTCCTGCACCTGAGCCTCGCACTGCGGGGGGTGAAGTCCCACTGTTTTTTTCAGACTGACCCGTTTGGCCAAATAGATGAGTTTCTTTCATAACACCTGGTGTCTGCTCTCTGCCTCATATTAGCAAAAACAGGTAAACAAGGGATGTATGGCTCTTCAAAGAACTTGCATTATGTAATAAATGAGCTACTTTGTATTGGCAAGGACATAATGTGAATTTCAAAAGGTGTTAATACTTTTGCAGAAAACTCAAATTATTAATAACTCAAGGCTTAGTACAGATACATGCATAGTGAAAATGTGAATTCCTGATATTTGAATCTGCATGCAGGAGCCAGGAAGTTGCACAGCTCTTTAATTTATGTAATGGGTACCCACAAAGCATGAGAAGGATCAATAAGAATAAGAAAGTGTTTTGACGTAAGTGATCAGTGGAAAAGCAAATCGAAGCCCTCTGTCTCACTGCACAAGTCCTTCACAAGAGATTTAGTGGACTCTAGAGATGTGGCGCTCATTTCTGTGCAGGAACGCCTACACAGTCATAGGTCTCAGGTAAGAGTCATCCAAACAAAACTTTCTCTAAATGCCTAACATAAAATACAGATTTTGAACCAAAAGAACTAAAGCTAATGGATTTTGTTTTACAAATAAGTCTTATTTGGACTGGCTAACGTTAAAAAAACATCAATGCTTAAAGCATTTTTATTGAATATGGAGGGAAAAAGGTGCAGAATTTAATGAAACGCCTCCAAGATGGTGAGAGAAAGGAACGGATTAATCATGTTATTGGTTTTTGTTGCTACCGATGGCATTGGCAACAAATCGCTGTTAGAGTGAAGAATGGATCCAATTAAATAGCATAAAATTCGAGGAACTATTATAACGTTTGTGAAAAACAGAAATGGAAGAAACAGAAGCCTTGCCTAAGCTAAAAATGTGAAATTTTCATTTTAACCATGACAGTCAATAAGACACATTTGACCAGAATCCAAATGTGTCACACTTTATTTTTGACATGTGAGGCATGTTACCAGTCTAACCATTTTTTGCATAATGTAATTGATTGCATACTTGCATATAATGGACACCTACTGAAAAGTAATGTTTGAATATTTGTCTATATTCAAACATATATGTCACTCTGTGTAGAATGTCGCCAACTTGGATGACAGCTCACAATACATGTTTTAAATAACATGTTTTAACTCCAAGTTGGATAAACTTGGATGATAAATAGTATTAGTAGCAGGTGACGTATAATGAGAGAGGCTCTCTTTATACAACATTATACATAACCCTATAAGGTCAACATCCTAAATCAATATGTGAATAATAATTAGCCAACTTTGTTTCTTTAGGCAAAATGGGGCAAAAAGAAATTTAACTTACTCTGAAAATTTCCAAAAATCTCCCAGAGGAATGCAGCACTCTTGAAATTTGCTGGGGTGTGATTGGTTACATGTAACGTGAGAAAGAAAAGACACAAATGAACTGCCAAGGCCTTTAGAAGAATAAGCGTGAAGCGAGCACGAACCCATTATCTTACAATTCTGAAATATTCCATAACAGCAACCATCCTGGAGTACTCAGAAGTACAAAATGTACAGAGCCAAGACACATGGACAAGGAAAGGAGGGCTGAAATCTGACAGATAAGTTGAGGCATCTAAATTGAGTCAAGAAATGGCTGAAGACAGAATTTTCCTAAGGTCTTATGGACTGATGAAATGAGTGACGGACCAGATGATTGGCCCCGTGTGTGGATCAAATATGGACAGAGAGCTCCACTTCAAATCAGATGTCAATGGAGAAGTTGTGTGCATTTATTAAACTGAGGATTTACAGTGAAGTAAAACATTCCACCTCTCTGTTGCTGCTGCACAAAAAGTTGATTGTCAACAGATCAAGAAACTGACAGATTCCAGACAGATAATAGAAGGATTATCACTTTTATTGAAAAGAACGGTGGCTATTCATCACTGATTTTATTTAATGTTAGAAAGGTGATTGCAAAGTTTTGAATTGAGTCAGCATAAGACTCACTTAAACAAATGAAAATGAAAAAAATAGATGAGAAAATGTAATAATTCCACATGATAGCAGCTACACAATAATAATGCAAATATAGACCAGATTTTCACCTAAGAAAGACAAAACCTTTCTTACATTCATGTTTGATGTTTATTAATATTTTTGGATTAATCAATAGCACTGCAGTTGGTAATTAAGTGTAATTACTGTATAACATTTTTGAGATATTAAATATTTTACTGCAGACCATGTATACTTTATTAAAAAGAAATCACAAAAGGAAAGACTTGTTGAGTTTGTGGCCAAATCAATAAAAATGCAGACTAAAGCCATTTTTGCTGCACATTTTTTCTTTGTATATATCTAAGTACAGACTTTTTCAAAGGTTTCATGGACTGATTAAATGTGTGATTCTAGACACAGTCAGTCTTTATATATTTATGGAAACTGTATAATATTTATACAATGAAGATGGTGACAGTCCCGATGAATGTCTCTCAGAAGAAAGGGAGCAGTGACGTAGTGGTGGTGGAGCTGAGGATGCTGCAGGCGATAAGGACCAGAAGACAAAAGAAACCACGTTTATTGGACCGTTTCACCCATCAAAAAGTCTCTATTGGAAAATTGCTGAAGCCTTTTGTCAAACAGGAAGTAACACGGCTGATGGACACGTGAAAAGCTGCTTATAGTACCCTCGCCCCACCCCTCCTGTTTCTGCGTAAAACCCAACCAGGCCAGATCAAATTAAGTGGTTTGATACTCTCCTTGCCAAGCCGATTAGACCGATTAATTCCCAAAAGTGTTCAAATGATTAAAGCCGGTTAATGGGCCCGGGGAAGGTTCATGGTATCAGAGTTGGCTACAATATCACACAGAGTCAGAGGGGGAAAAAAAGGCATGAAAAGGTAACTGTCGGTAACTCTCCTCTGACTTTGCTTTAGCTAATAGGAAGTGTTAATGCCTGCATGGTTAGCCCTAGCAGTGTTTTTGTTTCTTTAGATCACAAACCTTTGAGGAAAACATGGCTGATGAATAGTGCATCTCCTATGTTGTGACATGGTGCCTAAATATAGAGTAGAAAATAGAGCAGAAGAAAGGGGCAGAGGGAGAACCATGAATATTCACAGACCATCTACAGTAGCACGAAAAATAGTTTGTTCTCATTGAAAGATTTTATCTATGCTCAATGTGGCGCCAGGTTTGCATCACATTTGTGGGTCATGTTGACATTTTAGTGCAAATTCAAATAAAAGAAAAATCTTTGTAATTTACTAAAACTAACAGTTGAGAAAGAAGGAATTGTACCAAGAAGGTAAATAGTCACCGATTCCCTTCGTGCCGCTGCACTTCCCGCCCTCACTCTCTTTTCTAATACACTCGTCTCCCCAGGGAGCAGTATCCATCATTGAAGACGGCTGGGATGTTTTGCCACGTCGCCGTGTGCATGTGAACACAAGGTGACTCAGAGAGCAACACGGCTCGTGTGAGCCCTGTCTTATAAATGCAGCCCCATGTTTCCCCCATAAAGTGTCAATCAGCACCCTAATGCATCGCCCAGTGAATGTGACAGAGTCTGGGCTTCTACATTATTAACTCCTGGCACTTTTATGAGCCTGTGGAACATAGTCCTTCTTCTAGATGAGACATACGCCCATGTGTTCGTTTTGCTGTATCGTTATTTCAGCTTTTTTTTAGCATGTACCATGAGACACATTTAGAAACTGTTTAGACTGCAAGTCTAAACCACAGTAGGAACCACCAGACATACAGATGAATGAAGAGGGATCTGGTAAAATTACAATAATATTTACATTTTAGACCTCTATGCAACTATGATATTGTTGGTAGACACCATCCTCTCTGTGAAACATGGTTTTGGAAGCATGTTTTCTATTGTATGGTCTAAAGCCATTCAGGAATTTGTAGCAATTCATTTAAAAAAATTATGTTTACATAGGTTCACCATCCAATATATAAAGTATTTTACCTTTCAGTCTTATTACAAACTCTAAACGTTAGAGGAAATTCAATGACATTTAATTGTTGATGGGGCACTCCCACAAATCAGAATCACTTTTAAGACAAAAAACCCCAAAATAAAACAATTTCTGGTCATCATCAATAATAAGATTTACTGAGGTAACAGAACTTTATTGATTTTGGGGCACAACCTGGCAACGCTTGGGCTGTACCCAAACCTGTGCCTACGAATTATTTATGGATTTGAAGAGGGTGTCAATGTAATTTACATAAACTGCTTAAAAATAACTGGCAACATTATATTGTCACTACTAAATCCAGATAAGTTGAATATTAGCATAAGCATCTATAGATTAAACGTGGTATACTGGCAAAGAGGTTGATTACAAATTCATGCCATACTTTTTAGATTTTGACACATCCATTTTCTTCCACCCTTACCCCACTGGGGTCAGGTTGGTGCCGCTTATCTCCAGCTGTCAACAGGCGAGAGGCAGGATACACCCTGGACAAGTCGGCAGTTTTTGAATTTTGTTTTGTAAAAATATTTAAACCCATAAAGCATCTTCCTTTAGTTTAACAGATATGCACTAATTAAAGTTAGTGGTTACAAATATTAAGACATTTAAGGAACATAAACATGTTTGCATGTATATGTACAGCACTGTATGTGCTGTTTGCCAGGATAAATTGTTGCAGGTTATTAAAAGCTCAAGAGAAAAGAGTAGGCTACTTTCATAGCGGAAACCTCACAATAAATGAACACGATGTTTTGAAAACTTTCATCACATACAAATATGCAATCACTACAACAATGGTTTGATGCTTCATTATGTTTAGAATCAATTCCAAAGGAGTCTTACATGTGAAGAAAGAGAAGAATGCAGAGGAGTGATGGAGGTTTATGTTTTGTGTGACTCTTTCACATAGTGGGCGTTCTCAGTGGGGATGAATAACACTCAAGCAGATTGTGAAAGAAATCAGCACAAGTGGCTCATATGATCACAAACAGGCACAAGTGGCTATCTCAGGAACCAATAAAGGACTTTCAGCTTATGCAACCGGAACCATTGGACGCGGGGGTGCGTAAAAATCCCCCAGCAGGAATGCCAGACGCATAAACCGAGGAAGACGCCCAAGCGAGCAAGTTTGGAGACGTAAAGTCGACAGTAGAGTTTACACCGCGCCGCCCACAGCCTGTCACTTAGCCGGAGTCAGATTGCCGCCGTCGGAGTTGTTTGGAGCTCAGACAGATAGTCCGTGCGTAAAATCAACCAGACGCAGCAGTGGTGCCATGACATGCAGGACACCACGCGCCAACTCCACGGAAAATCCTCCTCCTCCGCACTGATGTATAGCACCGGTACGATCATTTCCCTCAAAACTGACCGTAATCTGAAGTAGAGGATGGTGGGTTCGTCCATCCCTCTCCATCGGTTCAGCTGCGCCGAAGAACGATGCTGAGAAAATCAGCGGCGGGGTTTTCTCCGACAGGTAAGATAACGATGCAATCGTTATACCAATAATATTCTTACGCTTTTATGTGTATGTGATTTTTTACAAAAAGACATGGCTCTGGACAAAAAAAATAAAGAAATGTGAAAATATAAAATTTTTGCTCAATACGTTCAGTTCGGCACTTTTAAGTGAAGCTACGCAATGTCACGTAATTGTGGAGAAGTGTATATTTATAGTTGCGTGCATTTCGAGGAGAGGAGGAAAACTGCTGTGGTCAAACAAAAACAGGCATCATCAGTATTTCTGAAGTCGGAGCCCTCGCTCAAGTGCACTTATTCCTGGATGTGTGATGTGGTTTTCCTTGTCTAATGCAGTGTGTAATGGAATCCCTTATCTGGACTGTGGCTCATCCTCAGAGGCGTGTGAGGATGGACATATTGTTGTAGATATTGATTCCGAGCCTTCTGTGTGCTTGTGTTTGTGTGACTGTGGATTCAGCTTACATTAGTCATGCATCTCCACAGCAAACAGCTGTGAAATCCAGCGTGACAGCCTGAACTTTGGCTTTTTTGGGGTCAGAGGTTTCAAAGGTCTCCTGCAGATCTGCAGGTCATCTCCGCCCCTCTATGGCTGTCTCATAAATCAAGCCTTGTACAGTTTTCTGTTTTTGTCAGAGGGACCTTATTTTCCAGTTTTCAGATAATTCAATTATTAATAATCAAACCATGAGGGATGGATTTGCTAGATTTAGGACGATCTGGTGCATTAGCGCTGCATTTGCTACACAAAACAACATTTGCGTACTCAAATCAGGACATGCCCAGATTGCCCACCATCTTATTGACAGACTTGTTGCCTTAGTGACTGCCTTTTCTCACTCTTTGTTTTGTTCTCTAGATCTAATTCTGTTTTTAGTTCAGCAGTTAAGGCTTTTTTGTTGTTGTAAGAGTTGCCCAGGATTGGGTTATGTCACGATTTGAATTTTAATCCTCAGTTTGTGGTTTCCAGAAATAGATCAAATGTTTCATAGATCAAATCCTCCATTGCTGAGTGTGTTAACATTCAATAACTACTTTCTTTCGTAATACAAAACAAAAGTTTTGAACATAAATAAAAGTGTTAAGATTAAAGCACAGACTTTCATAATCTGGACTCAAAACTAAAGTTTAGACATATTCAATAGCTGCCATCAACTGGAGAGTGTTTTGCAAAACAGATTTCACATTCACATGGCGTTATTAAACTCAGAGTAAGTCTATTACCATGAGTTTAACGGCACCATGCGAAGGCAGAATATGTTTATATTTACTGTATTTCATGCAGTAGATTTTCTTTTGGTGTCTCCAATAGTCGAACAGCCAGTGTGACACAGGAAGGGATGAGATTGAAAGCGGAGTTCTGCTGTTTTAAAACACACTAAAGACTTCATAGTGGTTGATGTATACACCACAATAATCTTAATTATCTTCCTGTCTGAAGAGGACTGACAATCATTTATATGGGAGGTAGATGTTGGAGGCTGCATCATCAATTATATTTATTGTAAATTTTGTTATGCAACAAAATTGTAACTGACCTTCCCCAGAAACACCATTTGGTCAGAAATGTTTCACAGCCAGTAATTGTAACGGGCGAGGATGAAGTTTGATTGGAAATTGAACTCACAAGTGAAACAGCAGTAAGATGAGACTTTAAAGTGCATACTACCTTTATATCATGCCAAGTATTGCAGACTTGAGGTCTCTGTTAAGTCTATTTTTGTTATTGGAACAGAAAGACAATATTGTTGTAGATATTGTAAATATTTTATTTTTTTTTTTTCCGGTTCGATATCTGAGTTTTTTGTACAAGAATTCTGAACAATTTGGACAGTTTCATTAAACCAAAGATTATTTTCTCAGACATCTGATTGTAAACTGGTTGTGCTGCTTCAACAAAAAGGTAATTGGTGGCTCATTGCCTCCTACCTCAATTTGCCTTGTGAATAAACAAGGTAATGATTGTTGGAGTTGTTTTAAGATATTTGACGCCATCTTGGTCTACCAGTTAAGTCCATATTTTTGGACAAACTAATATGGATTTATGCTATATTAGGCTGCCAAGAGAGATTTAGCTTCTTTTAACAAAACAGAAAAAATCCCGAATTGTCCCTTTAACCATTTTTTCCCCCCCATTTAACTCATGGGATTGTGAGAATTTCAGAAAGATAAAGTGAATCATGAGACCAAATTCAGCACCTGCCTCACTTCCCCAGTTTTCAGTAAAACCAAGTGTGACACATTTGAAGGATATTTTTTTTTCTGACATGTTTGTATGAAACTGTGGGCAAGTGATGCAACAGTAGAACATACAGCAGATGGTGATTTCATGGCTCTGTCTGCTGGAAGCTTGTGAGAGGAGTGTCAGTTGCCAACAAAATGAAACATTTCCTGCACTGAATTCCTTTAAAATACCTAAACCGGAATGTGTGGACTGCATTACCCTGCAATGTTGCGCCTAATTCAAAAAGAATGTGCCACAGTGAAAAGCTACTGTTGTCATTTTTCTTATAAACTATATTTGCTTGATATGTTTGTTTTGGTTTTCTTTTCACAGCTACAACATCGACAGAGATTCTTTGGACTCCAACCTCGAGATTTTAAAGCAGCCCATCAATCATGGAGAGCCTCAGCGAGCTTCAAAACCCCCTGCTGGACAAAAACAGCATGCATGCGGTTCAGAGCGACTACCAGGGCTACCAGTGTGACTACTCAAACCAGCCATACCAGGACAGTTTGATCGATTATTACTACACTGGGACCAGCGGGAAGCACAAGACTTCCCAATTCTTGGACGCCACCTCTCTCCATCTGGCTGTGGAGGCTTTCTACAGGCCCAACTTCATCCTGTTCAAGGACGACGTCAGCCTTCATAGCAAGGACTCTAAAAACGAGAGCTTTGAGACCACTTTCACAGAGATTAAAGATACTGTTTCATATGGAGTTTCCTCAGAAAACACTGTGGACATCAACCTGCAGGGAGAGAAGGACCTGAAGATCCAGACGGTGTCATACGAGGTGGAGGAGGAGCAGTGTCCTGAGTATGAGGTCTGGGATCACACCAAAGAAAATCCTCTTTGCATCCTTACGAAGGTTTTCCTCATGTATCAGCTTGATTCGGTTATTTTTTCAGTATTTACCACAATCTAAATTGATCAAATTAAATGCAACCCAGTTCAGTCAAGTTATAATCAAACTTATTCCTGCTCAAAGTCAAAAGTCGAGTTAATTCGAGTGTAGTTAAACACTTTTCAGTTCAGTGGGACCTGTTTTATAACTTGAGCTTATAAAATGTAAAACCACATTTGAAACAGAAAGGGAGAAGAAGAAGGACCAAATTCAAGTGGGATGGACATCTGCCTCAGGGGCAGAGAAAAAAAATTGTCTAAAAGCATTTTGATTTGGAACAGTGAGGCATATAAAAAGAGGAATATCAACAAAGTTACTGCCAGCAACAATTTATCTACAAACTAAAAATAAGTATGGCTGAATGAGGAACAAGACCCAGTGGTAGCCCAGCAGTCCAGGATAACTATAAGGACTAAAGTGATGGACCATTCTCCCCCATCTTTGCATTTTTTATAACCAAAACCAAAAGCTTTAATTCAAATTTTAGAGGTGAAGATGGTGTCTGGCTTTAAAATCCAAACTGAGGCAAGTTCCTTAGAGAGTATGCTAATCAACAAAACAACTGCCTCAGGTTCTACTTTTTTAAACGAGAGTAAATCTTTGTATTTGAAAGTGAAAAGTGATTTTTTTTTCACAAGTTATTTATTACAGACGTTTTAGATTGTCAAAGTTAAGATCTCACCTCCTAATTGTCTTCATAACTTTCTCTCAGATTCAATTAATTTAATCAATAAAGTACAACAGCTGTCATAAGCTTTTTTATTTTTCATGTCTTACACGACGACCAAACTTTAATATCTCTTACAGAGATTTTTCTGTGATAAACCAAGAAAAATTGTGTATAATTGTGAAGTGGAAGGATCAGACATGCCGGGAGACAACGGGAAATCTTGCTTTGAGGCAGTGGTGCCACCAACTGCAGTCTACAAGCATACATGATTTTATTTTTAAATTTAACAAATAAAAAACAGAAAGTGTGGATTTTTATCAATTTTTCCTTAGGCAGTAGTTTGTAAAAATCACCTTTTACTTGAATTAGAACTATAAATCTTTGTAGTATTTCTCTTTTTGCTTGTACCTGGAATTTGAGTGGAAATTGTTTGTGGGCATTAATGTTCAAGTCTTACCATTTTTTCCAAGTTGAGATCTGGACTTTGAATTTTATGATTCTAACATATGAAAATGCTTTGATTATTGTAGCTCTGACTATAAATTTAGACATGTGAACCTCCGCCTTGATCTGAAGTCTCGCAGCCATAAACAGTTTTTCATCTAGCATTACTTAGTATTTATCACCTAGTAACGCTGACCGACTTCCCTGTCTCTGCTGAAGGATAGTGTCCCCACAGCATGATGCTGCCACTACTTTGTCACCCTGGTGATGCAGTGTTAGTTTTGGGTATGTATCTTATTTCTACAGGTGTTTTTGAGTGTTTGACAGGCTGATTATGATGCTGATTTGTTCTCAGTGATTAAAGATAATCTTTTATCCAGCACTGAATGACATCTTATAAAAGAACATGAGTCATGGTGCACAGACTGCAGTAATACTTATTCAGTTTGCAATTCTTAAGGAGCACCAGCGTGATTTAATGTGATTAAAATTTCTCTCCAAACGGTCTTCGTACTTAGGGTCCTAAAAAATTTATGCGGTATATAGGTCTGCTTTTTGTTTTATTAATTTCAAAGAAAATTTTATATCTGACCTTATTAGTCCAGACTTTTTTTTTTTGTCTAAGGGCTATAACGGTTTTAAAAAAGAGAGAGAAAAGAGAAAAAAGAGCATGAAGAGAAACTCGTCAGAAGTGTAGAAAATCTAATTTTAAGCAAGGACACTTATGAAATACCCAAGGCTCTGAGCTGGCAGAGGAAGAAGTATAGCACCCTAACCGAGCTGATGATCACGCCAGCTCCTGTCACTCGGAGGCCTGGCAGATGGATAGAGACACTGAAGCAAGCTCCATTAATGCTATAAGTAATGTCCTGCTTTGAGGAAATTAGGCGGGACTCGGCTGATGCATGGTCCTCGTCACAGGTGAGCCTACAGCTGAAGTTTTTCTATTTCAATTCAAAAAGGGCAAATAAATCTGACGAATAGATGTGTGATGAAAAGCTGGATTTCCAGCTGCATTACGAGCAGCTGTCTCTTTACTCGCCTCTCTGCTTGCACACCTATGATTTATGTGTTGTATGAATCATGAAAGCAGACATATGCAGAGCTGCACTGTGTTGAGAAACAGCAGCAAATGGGAAGAGTTTCAAAACTTTGAGAATAAAAATAGAAAATAAAATGAAAAAAAGTTCATATGTACATTTTTATGTACTTGGAAGTGAAGCCGTACTCTATATAGAAAGGGAAAACTGAACTGCCAGATGTTTGACGTGTGTGACAGAGAAGAAATAAATCACAGGTACCAACGTAGCAAGACCCCTTCCACGATGCCGCTGTGACTGCTCCGGCCAGCAGGGTCTCTGTGTGTTGAGGCGACTGTCCCCTCCTGAGGCTAACGAGGCCTTGGAGAGAGCTGTGACAGGGTTGTTAGAGGCAGTGTGTCTCGGTGGAGCCTCCATCAGTTATCCAGACAGAGCAGACTGGGGAGGAGCAGCAAACCCAGTCGACAGGATTCAGCATCAAAGAGGCTGTCAGTTCGACTGAACACTCTGGTCACTCTGGACTGTTATCAAGTGTTGCCATAGAGATAACGGGAGATTACACGCGCTTGTAGTTTATTTATGACCAGCTGCTGTTCTGATGGATACACCTGGCTATCCAGGTGGGCTGTGTTCATAAATCAAATAACAGGGAATATCTTAATTTTATCTTGGCAAAGCTTGTTTATTTGTTTGTTAATCTTGTGCCACCATCTCATAATTTTCTCAAAATACAGGTGCATTTTAGTAATGAGAAAGGGATACCTAAAGCGTTCATATATCTCTTGTAAATGTTGATAATATATTAGAACTAATAAAAACTCTGAAATCTGGTTATAAAAAAATAGAAAATTATCTAAGACCAATAGAAGGCTTTATAAACGTCAATAATAATTAATATTAAGTTTACAGAGTGCTGAAAGTGAATATATCAGGAAAATTGAATGCAAGAAAAACATGTGGTTCAGGGAAAGGTGCACAAGCAACCCCAATCCTTGAGAGTATTATGAAGCAAAGGCCCAGAATCCAAGTTGCTTAAGGTCCAGTGTTAGATTTTCACAGTCAGTGATCATTTGGGGAGTCAGGCCAGCTGCTCCTGTTAGTCCAAAGACAGATCAGCCATCTGTCGTTAAATATAAGAGAACAACCATCATCGAAATTAAAAATTTCCTTCCACAGAAACCCTGGCACCAACCCACTGCCAAAAGTGCCAGTATCTGGTATAGTGATCACGACATCACTGCACCTCTAATAGCAACCTCTGTGTCGTATAACAACCAAACCACAGCTTCATCAGCTAAAAACAAAATCCCGACCAGACATCTCTTTTGTATGACATATTTTTCAGTAAGCCAACATTTCTGTGTTCATAATCATTTTTTGTCTTGCGTGTTTTTATCTTTTTGAAAAAATGTTTTCCTTTCACCTAGTTTTCCAGTTATATGCTTGGATACAGAACTATGCAAAAAATCATCTTAAGATTTCCCAGTGTGAAATATGAGTGACTGGTTGTTGAGCAGCAGTCTTTCCTGGGATTGTTTTGGCCATAAAATTACCAGAATTCTGCAATATAAAAATGTTTTATTGCTGTTTTGTAAAATCCTGAAAAACAGAATTTTGACATTTTATTAACAAAGGGAAAAAATAACTAAAAAAAAACGAGAAATATTTTGAAATGTCTCCTTTATGTAACGAAACTGCAAATAATATTACACATTACAAATTTCTAAAATATTCAAATACATTGGGCTACACCTACAATGGGATTTTTGGTAAATTGCTCTGATTATAAAAATGATGCTATCTGTTTTAGTCAAAAGACACAAGAGAAAATGTATATGACAAGCTTCACTTCACATGCCTCAATGCCTCTTCACTTCTTGCTTTCTAGCCTGTAATTACCTGTAAAACAGTTGCTTGAAGTTCTGCTTCTTGCATTGATTTTTATTTTCCTCTCTCTTTTTTTCTTCCCGTTTCATTCGATCCCTGAAGGCACGCCTAACAAATGAAACCTGCTCTTTATGGAGGCTATTTATTTACAAAACCCTCCTCTAAGTCTCTAGTCCAGGAGTAAGAAGTGTAGCATCCCCCTCTTAAAGGCCACTCACATGTCACACTGTTATTGTTGCTGCAGGCCTGATGGGCTTATGTCAGTCAGATCCCTCATTCATTAACCCGTTCAGAGCCAGCTGCTTTGAATTTGAGCATTAAGGGACAGTATCTGCTGACTGCGGGACACGCCATGCCTTGTAAGACGTTTGGCACATTAGGGAAGGATTGTGACGGTCTCTCAGGCTGGAGGAGCAATTAGTACAAAAATGACACCGTCGTCTCGCTGTTTCTTCTGTCACCTCGTGATGATGGAACAATCCGTTAATCCCAAGTTATCTGTCACCCTGCTCATGGGTGTTGACAGACGCACCAAATCTGTTTCAGCTGACCGAACTCAGACTGTCACGGCTGGTTCTGGGAAACAAGGACAGAGACCCCATCCTGAGGATGGGAAGAGGAGCAGGAGGGTGTGTCTTGTCAAGAAACATCACTTTGAAGAAGTTCAAAGTACATCTGAGTATTGCGTGTCAGTCTAACTTACTCATACATTTTGTAGGTGTCTCAGTCAAGATCAAAGCCTCATTTTCTTTTTTCTTTTTGCCAACTTGAAATGTAAACTTGAAAGCATAATGAAATCTGATTACTGTTTTTATTGATCCTTGTAAATGTGGTGTTTTCCAGAGTGACAGCTCCAGCGATAGTGAAAGTGAGGACAACTTCATCGTGCTTCCCCCTCGGGACTACTTGGGCCTGACCATCTTCTCTATGCTCTGCTGCTTCTGGCCACTGGGCATCATTGCCTTTTACTACTCTCACAAGGTAAAGGGTCCAGAGTCCTCGAGCGGGTCATTAATTCTGATTGCACCACTCTTAAGGTCAGCAAGCACAAGCTCTCAAACAAGTGTCTGCCGCAAACCATTTACCACCCTGTGACCCTGTTTGCAATTGTTTTGGATGATTGAACATAAATTCAGAAATGCACCAGGCAGAGAAAGCATTAAAACTGAGATTTTTTATTGCCTGTGAGCTTGGTATGAGCAGTGGGTTTCACATATTATGTTTATGCTTATGTGTCAGTTTGGCCCCCTTTATTGGTTATAAACAATATCTTAGATTGGTCTAGTCTTCATTATCTTTCAGTTCCAAAGGACCCAAAGCAAACCCAGTATATGTTCAGAAATCTGAACATATAGTGTGTGAAAATCAGAAAATGTCACACTTTTATTTCCCATTAAAGTATGAAATTTGACTTAAGCATTCTGGGAGTACAGAAAATATATTTTATTTTTATTTTTTGGACTTGACTAATCATCTACAAGTATCAGTACATCTCTCTGCCTTCCAAAATCCATCCACTTCTCTGACATGAGTTTGTAGGTATATTTGTCCCTTTAAAGTTAGAATTTTTGACATCATAAAGTATGGATTGCCTGCATTTGGTCCTTTAAAAGATCTTCCGCAGTCATTGGGAGAAAAAAAAAAAAAGAAAATACCAGCGCGAGAAGTAATGCGTCAGAAGAATAAATAGAGGTCTTGCTTTTTTTCCCCTCAATGACCAAAACAACCAAACAACACATTTGTCACTGTCAGAGGCATAATGACCTAATTGCCATGGTAACTAATGGCTCCCTGAGAGCATTTCTTGTTGTTTTTTTTTTCTCTTTTAACTGTGGCTTAACACCTACTCATACACTCTGTGCTGATGAGTAACACAGCAGCTCATATCACTCTCTGCTATGTTTTTTTAGACAGGCAAGGCCATTGCTAAGGGAGACTTCTCCAGAGCGGGGATGAGCTCCAGAAGAGCCCTGTTCCTGGCCGCCCTCTCCATTACGGTTGGAACAGGGATGTACGTGGGGGTTGTTGTTGCCCTCATAGCCTACCTGTCCAAACCTGGACATGTATAGCACTGGACCCAACTGCTGGCGGGGTGAGATTAGTAACAGGAGGCGGCATGAGAGGAGGGGAAAAGCTGGGCAGATCTCTGTTGCCTCTAATAAACTTGTGATGGAGAAAATGAAAACTGTATAGAGAAATATGTCTAAACCAGAGAGAGCAGATGATGGAAATACTCCATGTGTGGACGGAGCATTACTTCAACCACATATTGATCCAAACTGAGTCTTTATTTCTGGTGCACAGCATTTCCACCAAAGGAATAAGAACAATAAACACTGTTGGAAAAAGCAAACTGTCTGAAAACTGAACTCAGAAAAAATTAGCCCTCTTTATCCTAATAGACTTTCACAACAACTTAATGTGAACTTTAGAAAAGGTGTTTCATCTGTTTATCAGTGTCTTAGCAACTCTGTAAATAGATTTATTGTTAAATGGTAAAGTCAGATTTTATGGGATTGTTTTTCTTTTCTTGGGGGATAGACCAGTAACGGATCACATCACAGAAAAGAAGAGAGAAAAAGACACCAGACAGAAAGGACATGATGGTAATTTGTGTCTGTTGTGTGCTGTACATTTAGTCATTAAATGCATTTGGCATGAATAATGAAACACCTTACATGACTCACTGTCACTTATTTTCACTAGAGCAGCTCTGCGGGTTTACGTCCTAGAAATGAAAAAGGAACCGTTCATAAAAGATGAATCCAGATTATATTTTTCCAACTAAATCTAAGCAATTCTTTTAGGAGGGTTTTTTGATGCTCTTGGACTTTTCTTTTACAGTAATCAACATTAAAAAAATGAGCAGAGAAAGAAGGCAAAATGTTGTGCATGAAACTTTACTCTGGATGGCTGCAACAGATAAGAGCCTCTACTAAATATTTCAAGTGCTACCACAATATAAGCTGTTTTTAGGCAAGCTGAAATGCTAAGACTTTAATTATTGTAAGTCTTAGTTTGATGAGAGGCTACTCATCAAACTAAAGACTTGATGAGGAGCCTCAACTCACTGTATCATGGCAGCTAAAACAGCCTGTGATGGTGGGTTAGTGGGATTATTCAAGAAAAACCTCCAGTTAGAACATGTCAGGTGCTCAGCATCTATGCCCATGATAACTAGATAGACGCAAACATGTGAGTACATGAGTGGAGTAAACCTACAGAGAAATAAATGTTGCAACCTTATCAGGAGATGTACCATTTCTCCCTTTGTGTTGAAGATTTTACTCGTTAATTATTAGAACTAATTTTCTTTCTTACAAGAACAAGACACTTAAAATTCATATCAAGACATTCTGAGCGATCATCAACTTACTTTGATGGAGCATTTCTGTCCTGAGGGGAGTGATTGTTCCCCAAATAAAAGGGCCTTCATTCACTTTTAATGGCACAATGGATCACTGAAAGGTTTGATGAATATGTTATGCCCCATATCTCCTGCATGTCATAGAAATGTGTAGCCTTTGGTAATGTTTGAAATTTTTAGACATTTATAGATGGAGTGAACATCCATCTGACTGAATTAAACTTACTCTCATTAATCTAATTGTAATTTAATAACTGAAAGGTTTTTATGAACTACATTATTGTGGGTTTCCTGTCACAAACCCACAAGTGGAAGACTTCGGGAGGGGAAATCTGAACGAACTCATTTTCATTTATATTGTTGAGCTCCAGGCAAATAGGACATTAAATATAAAAGAGCAGCGAAACTTTGGTGGTCAAAAACACATATTGAATAAATGTCTTGAGCTTATTCTTCCTTTCAAAAGTCTTCAAATGCCATTTACTCCTCCTCAAATTTGTGAGTCAGTACTTTCTAGTATTAACTTTAATTGCAGGGTAGATGCTGGTATTTTGGCTTTTCTTTGAAAAACTATCAAGTTTCAACCCAGATTGTTGGTTGAATTTAGATCAGGATATTTCTGGCACATTATTAGACCTCGTTCGAAATCATTCCATTGTAGTTCAGGATGTATGTTTAAGGTTGTTTTCATGCTGGAAGGTGAACTCCCATCTCAGGATCAAGTGTTTTGCAACCACTATTAGTTTTTCTTCCCAAAATGCACCATGCTTTTTCTCCATCAATCTATTGTATTAATTCTGACCAGCTTCCCTGTTCACCCTGGAGAAAAGTGCACTCCAGTAGCAAGTGTACCTTCACATATACTGTAAATATTCATTGCAATGTTTGGGTCACAGCCCAGCCAGAACACCCATGCCGTGGTAAGCTTGTGGCTAAGCCATAAATATTTTTTACATTTTCCAATGGATTTGAATAGAATTGCCCTGCATTTAACTTCATGTACATTCCTGTAAGTTTCTGCCAGTTTCCCTATCCATGCATGATGCTGCCAACACCATGTTTCAACAGTGCAGATTGTTCACTGTGAGTACGATACATGTAGAGTTTTCCATGTTAGCCTAAAGTTTGGTTTTAATCTCATGTTTCTTAAGGCAGTTGCTTTGCACAGGATTTTATTTTAGTCCACTAAAAGGACTGATTACAAATTTTTATATCATTTTAAAAAATCGTCCATCACATCATTGACAGTTTATAACATTTTTAAGACATACTTCAGCACGGGAACTATAATAACCACATTCAAAATGATTAAATGAAACCTATAAACTCTGATTTTCACAGGGGGAAACCACAGACTAATGGCCTGAGCATCAAGCTTTTAATCAACTTGAAGTTTTTCAAGCTGAATAAAAGTCAGAAAGTATTTATAAAATGAGTTATACTGCAATCCAAGGTAAAAGTATACAAGAACTCATTTGAAATACATTTCTAATTGTATTAGACAGCAAATGCTGAAAACCACTGAAGAACACAAATTGTGGTTTAATATTAGTGTTGGAACAGCCACAGACCACTATATTGGGTATTTGCTGTTGCATCTACAAGCTTGTAACTGGCATGCCTCTTTATTGTCTTTTGGCATCACTCATTGTTGAGGCTCGAGGTGACTTTTTCTGCCAGCAGCGGCAACAAAGCAAGCTCTCAGAAGTCAGGATGTCAGAACAAAATGAAAGCAGCACTTTAGGACTCCAGCAACAGGGGAAAAGCTGACATGCATTTCCAGTTCTCTTGTTCCACCTGCTATCCAATCAAAGCATTCACCTCCGACGCTAGAATTTCCTAAACAACTCAGTGAGCCTTCAGTGTCCACTCAGTATTACCTAGGAAACAGTTCCTGACATGTTTTTTTTATAATAATAAAAAAAAACATACAAAGACACACTGAACTTCATTTGATATCAAAAGGTAAAAATAAAAACTATGATGGAGATGGAAAGATGGGAAAGAAGATGGTCTCCTAAATTTGTATGTTTTCTCTTTTGTAGTGTTCCTCCAAGCAAAGCTCTAATGCACCAAATGTGGGTCGATAAGGGGGTTCCGGGGGCGAAAGTGCCACTCTCATCAATGGGAGCTGTATGGGGTGCTGGAGTGGGCTCGCTCTGCAAGAAAGTGCAGGGCCCCGCATGCGTTTTCTCTCCCTCGGTAGATAGGAAGCATCTCCCACGCTTGCTAGCACTCACAGCATCCATTGCTGGCTCAGACCACCAGAAGCAAACTGATTTTATTAGTCATCCACCCCCATGTGAACTAAAACCTTCCAAGAGGCAGCAGCAGGTTGAACATAAAATGTATGCATTATAAATGTGTGTGTCAGTTCAGTGTCAATGCAAGTAGCTCGGGTATTGTCTTGAAATCAGAATTACACCTAGTTTCTAAATGTATCACATTAATATAGAATGAGTAACAGTAAATACAGCTTTCAACTGGAAAATCAAAGTGTTTCACTTCAAAATAGCATAAAAGACAAAGGATTTCCAGATTGGGTGATGGCTACATCTGCAAAAGCTTTGTCAGCTTTAGTTTTCAGCCTAAATTAGAGTTGGCATCCCAATACCAAAAACATCAAAGTTGTCTGACCAAACAACATTGATGTTCTTGTTGGCAAAAAAAATTAGATTGAAAACTCAACTTTTCTCTCAATTCTATGGATAAGCTTTGAAAATGTATTAGACATTTCCTGTCTAATACAATTAGACAGGAAATGTTTGTATTTGATAAGCATCTTATTGTTTATGTTGCAGGTGTTTCATGCATCTTGTTTACAAATTTGATATACATCTTTTTTTTTTAAATAAGAGCAATGGGTGTTTTTGTCTTTTGATGGAAATACTTTGTGTTGTTTTGTCCATTAATTGTGCTACATCAGTGAGCTTTGACTTGACTCATTGACTATTTCAGGTTGGACATTTCTTTTAGACACTTAAGTTGTAGACTTAAGTTGTTTTTTTTTTTACTGATGATATAACCTCTCTCCTTAGAGCGTAAGGGTGAAAGGAGGAACTTAATGATCACCTATCACATGGCAGATTGTCAAAACATAAAATACTGCTTTATAGAAAAGTGAAGGAAAAAAGCGGAATGATGTCGGGTTCATACAGTCATGGGGATTGACTGAAATCAGAACTAGAAGTCGAGTAGCCAGAATGGTAAGCATGGACACAAGTTTGAATACAGTTTCTCAGACTCTAATTTGACAAGCAGGTTGAACAAGAGAGATAAGAATGAACAACACATTTGCAATGAACCAAGAGCAAACACAGAAATATTTAGTACATGTCATTAGAGAAAAGAATTACAGAAATATCTCCTTATCCAGTTGGACAAAGTCATTAAACTTCTCAACCCACTTAGTAAATAAAAAAAATAAAAGAAATCTCACAAACTAAATAAAAGTATGAAAGATCCTTTATAATGATGAACACCTTGAAACGACACCAATAAGAGGCAAGAATAGAACAGAAAGATGGAAACACATAAAAGCTGAAAGCTGCATTAATAAAGAGCTTGATGCTTTTCATAGAACTGAAGGGCTCGTTTAGATTTTTATCGCCACCGCAATAACATACTTGTCACTCTGCTCAAGGACAACTGACACGTGAACAATATCTGTGCTGTGGCTTTATGCTTTTGAAGTGGCTGCAATATTTACATTTTCTGAAAATATTTAAAGCTTCCCTTTTAAATCAGACTTTTAGTGAGATATTAAAAAAAGGGGGAAATAGCATCCCAGTAATTTACATAATCTGGATTGCGAATGTTTATCTTGTAGAAGTAGATAAACCTCTTGTTGTGCACCAGATCAAAACCTTATAATTTATTTGGCAGATTAAAGACTCTTGCATGCTGTTTGAAATTTATGCAGAGATTTTTTTTTCTAAGCAAGCTGATAAATTTTATGTATATTTGATTATCCCAGGGACGCTTTCTAGGTCATCAGCACCATGAGTGATGTCTCTCTGGCAATAGATGGAACAAAGCTCGTGATGCTGTCCTTTGAGATTTCAGCAGCTTGTTAAACAGACACTAAAAATGAGACTATAAAAATTCCTGAAGAAGTTTTAATGGAGTCTGCAACTTTATGCATACAGCCCGCCACCATAACGAAGTCTTGTTTCTAATGAAGGCTTAAAATGAACCAATAAACCTGAAGTGTGTCCTTACTAAACTATGAAAAAGCCAGAATTGCATATGGGAAATCCAGGCAAAAATGCTCCCATTAGCAGAAGGTTAAAATGTATTCAGAAG